AATTTACTCGTAGACAAATCTCACCAAACGACACTGGTTCATCTAATGACGACAACACTTTACGGCAAATTTACGGGGAATTTCTAGATATAGAGAACTTTTTTTTAAAATTAAGAAAATTTAGATAATAACATAATTTATGTAATGAAGGTATGAAAAGTAATCAGGTAAAACCAATGAATAACGTTTAAGGAGCTTTTAAAACTCCTTTTAATTTTAAAAAGATAAGGAAATTTTTTGCAAATTTTTAATTTAACTTTCCCTCAAATCAATTAAGCGATTTTTATTTTTCTTATATTACTTAAGGTAGTATTTTAAAAAAACGTTAAAATAATATCTAAATTAGTACAATCAGAAGAGGTATTACAAATTTTACTGAATAAAAAATTCAGATCAAGTAAGGGTGTTAATATGGAAATTTTACCTAAATTAATTGGCGTTTGCCGACAAATAGATTGCGTTGGTATAAAAGCCGTTTACTATGCATCCTGCAGTAAATAAATGCTCAAAAATAACTATGGAACTTACTTTTAATTAAAGTAATTCAAAGTAATTATTATTAAATAAAAATAGTGCTTCCACTATGCATAATTTTTTTACATTCCGCAAGATGTTAAAAGCAAGAATGTATAAAAACATGAATTCAATTCAATTCAGTATATATATTCTGAAATTAGTTGTAAAATTTAAAGGACTTTTACAAATAGTACAAGTACTAATCTAAAGTAAAAACCTGCAACATTACAATAAAAGTGATAATAATAACAATAATAATAGTATTGATAATAATTATAGAAATAATATTAACAATAATAATAAGATGACGATGAAGAGGAATATTATTAGTAACAATACTAACAATAAAAATAAAGATAATATACAATCAATATTAGATAATAGCAATAATAGTGATAAAGTATAAGTAGTATATAAAGTATAAGTAGTAAATAAACTTAAGTAAAAATTAAAAAAAGCAATAATAATACTTATTATGTCATAAATAAAAATAATAATTTACTAGTAAAAATAGAAGAATATTATTAATATCAATACTAATAATAACAATAAAAATACGAAAACAAAAAGTTAATAACAAAACTAGTAGGTATCAAGAGAGTAGTAATAATAAAAGCATAACAACATATTTCAGAGACTTCAGGTATAATATCTTGCTAAAAAATAGTTAAAAAGACAGTTTTTGAAATTAGTAATTGAGTCAATTGATTTTAATGGCGAAGGTAGACTGTTCCATGATTTTACACTTTGGTATTTTATGGATTTTAGACCATATTTTACAGAAGAATGATTTGGTACATGAAGATTATAGCTATTAGCAGATCGTAGATGATAGCGACAGCTTTCTCTAACAGTAAAAAAATTTTGTAAATGTGCTGGATAGGCATTTTTGTTTATAATTAAAGACAAAATGGCAATTTAATAGTTGAACTAGATCATCAATTTTGAGTATTTTGGATAAAAAATAAAGATGATCGGAGATTGATAATGCTGAAAATATATTATTTTTAATGCTTTGTTTTGTAAGTTGGATAATCTTAAAATCTCTTGGGTGCGGATTTGTCCCCAAACTTGACATGCATACCTAAGATGTGATCCAAAAATGGCATGGTATATATTGATAAGAGTTTCAAGATTGACATAGTGACGAATTTTAGCTAACATCCCATTCGATCTACATAGTTTTATTGACAAGTCCTTAAGATGTTGAGAAAAAGTTAAACTTGAGTCAATTTTGATTCCAAGATACTTTAGGTACATAACTGGATTTATTTTTTGACCACTCAGCCTAAAATTTAGGTGTTTACTGATTTTAGATTGTTTTGATTTAAAGATGATAATTTCAGTTTTACTAGTATTCAGAGACAGTTTGTTAGATCGAAGCCATTAAATTAGATTAGATAGATCATGATTAATATATTTGTTTATTTTTTTTAATGATTTGTTAATTAAAAGTAAGTTAGTGTCATCAGCAAAATGAGAGGAAGTTGTATATTTTAATGATAAATTAAGGTCGTTAATGAAAACAAGGAAAAGCAATATATATATATATATATATATATATATATATATATATATATATATATATATATATATATATATATATATATATATATATATATATATATATATATATATATATATATATATATATATATATATATATATATATATATATATATATATTGGGGAAACTGGGGTAAAATGGGGTACTTAAGAATGAAACCCTATAAAAGTCACAAAATAAATAAAATGATTACAAATAAATGTTGAAACATCAGAATGCAACATAGACAACATTGTAACAAAACAGCAAGTCAAAAGAATGTAAATTAATTGATTTATTACATTTTTTTAAAAATAACATAAAAATCCCATTTTACCCCAAGCATGGGGCAAAACGGGGTAATGGATGGGGCAAAATGGGGTCAAAGGAGGAACTCAAATAAATATGATAAATTAATCACTGCTAGTACAAATATAATCAATCACTGCTAGTACAAATATAATCAATCACTGCTAGTACAAATATAATCAATCACTGCTAGTACATAGCTCACACAAAAAGTAAGGTTTTTTGTTTCTTTCATCAATGCCTGCACAAGAATAATGGGCCCATCTGTGGCACTCAGTACATGAGATTCAACTCTCTGTGCTGCTGGAATAAAGATCCTCACAATAGAAGCATGGTGTGTCTTCATTTGATTTTTTGACAGATTTGTTTTTCTTTGGATTCTTTTTTTCTTTGGCTTCCATTAATGAGACACCCCATTTTACCCCAACATAGGAGGCATAATAAAACTGTTCGAAAAAACAAAGCAGAGCAAAGCTCATGAATATATAAGAGTCTTAATTGCTTAATATATAATATCATTCAGGAACAATAATATATTTAATTCAAAGCTTTAATTACAAAGAAGCTGCTTCTTAAAATATAATAAATAAGATGAAAAAGTTGACAAAATTGTATTTACCTCTCAACGACGATACTTGAAGAAAACGTGAACAAAAGTAAAAGATGGCGACGTCTCTTCTCGCGATATTTCAAATCCAATATTTTTGTCGATGCTCTGAGGCTCTGAATGGGGTGTATTTATAACCCCATTTTGCCCCATTACCCAATTTTACCCCAGTTTCCCCTATATATATACATATATATATATATATATATATATATATATATATATATATAATAAATAAATAAACGATTTTATATTATTATTATGCCATGTTCACAAGTGATTAAAATATTTATTTTTTGAAATTATTTTTACAAAAATAAACAAAGTTTTAAACAACATAAATCGGTAAAATATCATTTATTTGTTCAAATGCATTGACTTCATGAAAATTTCGCGTGAGAAGCCTGACACGGCGTGCAGGCATTACGACACCAACGATTGCACCAATTGCATTGTGACTATTTTAAACGAACACCACGGGGTTTAACAAAAAACAGAATGTTATATGTATCTTCGTTGTCAACGTTAGCGCACATTTGTTGTACACGTCTAGCAGGAATGTATTGACGGTACAATTCAACTGCTCTCGTATCTAAAATATGTCCACATTGTTAGTAACAGCTCCTACGATTCAAAGTTTAAGTATTCCGTTGAAATTATTTACATATATGATGCAATTGCGTTAAGTTCTTTATGGTTCGTTGAGACAATCACTTTTTTCGCATTGTTGTTACTCACGGCATCAGGAGCCGCATTGGCATCTTAATCTCCAATTATGAAGAATGGCTTAGCGTGAACGGTAGGTTCTGTTTAGTCTCTGTTGTACTCTGAGCAAATTTCCTTTCTTTATTAGTTTCAGTACTTCCTGGATGATACAGTTAAATGTTTTGTATAAAAACCACTCATCTACTTATAGGTTTCAGCAATTATCTCATCACTTCCTATAAAAACCGTATAGGTTTATGATATAGACACTCTAAATAAATTTTTTGCAAAAATCAAAAATTTACATTTATAAATACTATTTTTTATTATTTTACTTTTATATATTGTTTTTTAATATATATATTAAACTTTTAAGTAATAAAAAGGTAAATAAATGTATGTCTTTTGCCCAAACAAAGGTTTTTAGAAAAATAAAGAAGCCGGCTTTGCACCTAAAGCCTTTGCATTGTACCTAAAAGCCGGCCAGCCGGGTTTTAGGTACAACCCAACAATCTTGCATAATCACAACTTTTGATATAGGATTTTGTAAAATCTGGAATTAGCACCACCTTTTTAGTAATTCCACAGTGCATTAAATCCTAGTTTTACTTTTATTAGTTAACAAAGTAGAAGCATTCACTTTCAATTACATTAGTTGTATAATTAATAAGCTGTACTTTGTTCAGTTGTTTTTTAGTTCATTTTAGAAACACTAACTTTTCTTGGTTAACAATACTTTTAAACGCTTCATTTACTAACAATAATATATGACAAGCGCGCTATATTATGATAGATCTTAAGTGAACTGTCGAAAAGAAGTAAAAAAAAGTTTGCTGGCGAAAAGAAGTAAAAAAAAAAGTAAGATACTTTTAGTTGGTCGTTTATCTTAACACTTTCTCGCTTCAGGTATAATCAACTTTATCAGGTATTATCCCTCATCGTCATTAGATTGTCCCTCATCATTATCAGATCATACCTCATTGTTTCATCATCATAAGAACATTCCTTTCTATGCAATCAATGTTGGTTTTTAACGTCTTTGAATCCGGATAACTGAAGATTGGTTCATATTAGATAATGTGGCTATTTTTCATTAAAGTTAGTTATTTTGAACTTTTATTAAGTGCAGTCCATCTTTGTTTGATAGCATATTTTTCCAAGATTCGTTGAAAACACGAAAAAAGGAAAATTCAATTAATTTCTAAAATAGTTTAATATCGGATTTCTAATTTAAATAACCCATAAAGCCTATAACAAATAAGTTATTTTTATGAAATATTTATTCTTAGGCGTTTCAAATAATAAAATCAGACTTGATAACACTTGATAGACACATTAATATAGCTAACAAAATCAATTACTAAATACAAAATCTGTTTCTAATATTATAAAAAATCAATTACTAAATTCAAAACCTCATTTCTAATATGATCAAAAAAATAATTTTAATATTTATTTATTTTTAACAAAAACATTTCACGCCACAAATATTTTAATAAATATAGCAATTTTATAGCAAATATAATATAATATTTTATATAACTTTTTATGTATAATGTACTTCAATACATCTAAAAGCAATGATGTATTTAAGAATATATTGTTCTCATAAAAAACCTTTGCAACTTTACTGTAATTCCTTCAAATTAAATGGTAACAATGGTATCTCATATATTCAATCTAGTGTTCCAGCAGTTAATTCAGGGTGTTCCATTATTGTTAATTGGAATAGCTTTCATTTCATAGCGCATACACATGTATTCACTTAAAAGTGATGTTAAAACAATACAAGCCACATTCATGACCCACCAGGTCCAAGCAGTTGGAAATGAAGAAACACACCAGCATATAATTAAATGTATAAAATGGGAGGTGCAGGTAAAATCTAGGCACTAAAAAAAACATTTTAAATATCATATATTGATTAGAATAGAACAAATTAGAAAATTAACTGCAATAACAATAGATTAACAAGTTAACAAAAAGTTGAAAAATAAATAATACAAATAAAAACAATGAAATACTGAAAAATTAAAATGTAAATTAGAAAGACAATCAAATTAAAATTTTAGATTAAAATTTCAGATTATATATAAAACCGAAATAATATAAATAATTATGTTTGTTACTATAATTGTATCTGAATATGTTAATTAGAGAGCTTCAAATCGATTTCTATTGATGAAATCTTTCACATGGAAAAATACTGCATGGACCTTGGGTGTTAAAGACACATTTTGAAATGCCACATAAGACACTCTGAATGCTTCAATTATTTGTGGGTAGTTTGACGTCTGGAGTAATGTAATCAAGGTTTCATCCAAAACAGCCAGACAATACCAAATTAAATTTTCAAAATGTATCAATGAATGGAATGGCTGCATAGCATGAGTCAGCAATTGATTGAAGAATATCAATATTGTGTAGCCGTTTTCTGAATCCATTTCCTGCAAAATAGCCACCATGTTAAAGCTGCTGCTTAATATGTAATGCATCAGTCCAAAGAGTTGCCTGAGGAAAAACTTGAAATAGAGCAGCAAACATATGATTAAAAACTTTAATTAGGAGATAAAATTTCATGGGAGTAAGAAACTTTAAAACCAAAGTGTCTCCAGGTAGATTAAATACTGGAGAATGAACAACATTTGTGCAGTCATGAGCTTTTCTGATATTGAACCTGCTGACTTGAAGAGAGAGTCATTTTTTTCCAGAAATTCAAAAGTCCTCAATTTCCCTTAATTTATAGTTCCTTTGAACCAGATTCAAACTAGGTGCAGGGATGTGCACTTAAGTATGCTTGAAACCCACAAATAATATTTGCAAGTTTTAGATCACAGGTCAGGACAAATTCCTGGTCTTTCAAATTAACGTTAGTATAATTTTCATGCAGCTCCTCAGACAGATGAGTTGTCATTTTGACACCAGTGTCCTTAAAAACTTTGCTTGTGTAGTTGAATTTTTTGGGGGGAATGCTAGGTTTATGATTTAATTCAATAATTCCAAAGCTATTTATCAGGAAATCAACTCCTCAATCAATTCTAACCATTACAATTTAATTTTTTGACTTAATTGACATGGATATAATTTTATTTTAAGGCTCATGGAAGTCCTTGCAATGTATGACAGTCCTAACACATCCAACATGATTTTGAATTGTTGAACTTGTGAAATGATGTGCAAGCTGCTTGCTTTTATTAGTTTGAGGATTCATCTAAAATTTTAATAGAGAACAGGCATAGGATTGTTGGAAAAATCTAGACTTTAAATTGTTGTTTAAAATTTAAAAACAACTTACGCACCAAAAACTATAAAACACAAAAAACCATCATCATCACCAAGTTCTCTAAACCTATAATTCACTGACATTCGTGGTCTTTGAAGTAATTTTACTTCTGTTGGGTCTTATCTCTAGCAAAGTTCACTAGACCTACTTACTCTTTGACTAATTTGAGTTGTCGCTGTCTCATCTTGCAATCTTGGTGTGGCTATCTTCCTTTAATTTGAAAAGACTCTAATAGTCACATGCTTGGCCTGGGGATTTACATTCATAAAAATTCACCTATTTATCGGGAAACTAGGTTTAAATCCACAGACTTTTTTCTTTCATGTGCTTTTGTTTAGCACCACTTCACTCTCTTGCCTCTCTTTTTGTTCTTTATTGCTATCCTTCATCTCAAGACTGCACTCTTTTAGATGTTATCTCTGATCAAATTGACCAAAGCCTTCCTCTTTATCCTTGAGCCAATATCGTTGTTGTTAGTGACTTTAATGCTCATCATACTGAATGGCTTGGCTCTAGTGTTATTGACTCTGTATTACTTCCATATCTTACAGCAAAACATTTCTCCAGAAAACAGACATCTGTTTACTATTACTAGAAAAAATTTATTGCTGTAAAATGGTTTTGTCCAACGGCAAAGCCTGCTATTCTCATTTCATCTCAAAAATTAGGCTCTCGTGACTTCTGGAGAATCTTTAACAGTATCAATAATAAGGGCATATCTGTTATTCCACCTCTCTTGTATGTTTCAGATTTTGTCACCTGACCTAAAGATGAAGCTGAATTGTTTGCTAAGAACTTTTCATCAATATTATCTCTTGATTTTACTAGTCCTATTCTACCTGATATAGCCGACAAACAGGTTAATCCATTGCCTGACCATCATATTACTCCAGTGATAAAAAGGTCAGGCAATGGACTAACCTAAAAGACTCTTCAATCTTCTGTATATTAGGTGATTTCTTTGCTTAGACTCTTCAACAGCTTGTGGTCCGGACAACATACCTGATATAATCTTGCAGAAGTGTTTTTTGGAGCTGTTGTTTATACTTTCAAAACTATTTAGAAGGTGCTTATCAGAGTATTGTTTTCCAGCCTGCTAGGAAAACAATACTCTGAAACCGGCCTTATTTTCAAAAATTCTGGAGAGCGATTTGACTTGTCTAACTTTCGTCTTATTAGTCTTCCTCCTAACATAAGCAAAGTTTTTTAGGTCTTTAACTAATTTCTGATCATCAATATGGATTTTAATCTTCTTGTTCTACTGTTGATTTGTCAACGGTAATAACTTATAGGTTTTATTAAAGCTGACTGGGATTCCTTTCGTGATTTTCTTCGTGATGGTCCTTGGGCTGATGTTTTTTCTCTCTCAGCTGACAAATGCGCCTCCAACGTAACCTCCTGGATTCTTGCTGGAATGGAAGCTTTTATTCCTTCTCGTCGGTTTCAAGTCAAGCCTCATTCTACTCCATGGTTTTCTCCTTCTTGTGCAGCTGCTATATCCAATCGTAACCATTTTTTTCATCTTTTTCAAAAGAACAACTCTCTAGAGAACAAACGGCTATTTATTATTGCAAGAAATCGATGTAAAAAGGTGCTTTCTGATGCTAAACTCCATTATTCTCAGTTCACTAAATCTCGCATCTTATCGCAGAAGTTAGGCTCTAAAGACTTTTGGAAAATCTTCAACAACATTGTTAACAAGGGTAGATCTAACATTCCATCTCTCATTCATGGGACTGATCTTGTTACCTCTCCCAGGGATAAGGCAGAACTGTTTGCAAAGAACTTTTCTTCTAATTCCACTCTTGAATCTCATGGACATTCTCTTCCTTCCATTCCAGTCAAACAGGTTGACCCATTGTTAGACATTCAAATCACTCCGGCTTCTGTTGCTAAAGTCATATCTCAATTAAACTCGTCTACAGCTTGTGGTCCAGACAACATTCCTGTCACAGTCTTGCAGAATTGTTCTCCAGAACTTTCTTCAATTCTCTCTAAACTATTTCACAAGTGTTTGACTGAGTCTTGTTTTCCTGCTTGTTGGAAAATGGCATCTGTGGTTCCAATATTCAAAAACTCTGGAGAAAATTCTGACCCCTCCAATTATCGTCCGATCAGTCTTCTTTCTGTTATTAGCAAGGTCTTTGAGTCTTTGATCAACAAATTCCTCACATCTCATCTTGAGTCAAATAAACTGCTGTCAGACAATCAATACGGTTTTCGATCCTCTCGCTCTACGGCCGACTTGCTAACTGCTGTAACTGAAAGATTTTATCGTGCATTAAATGGAGGCGGTGAGGCTAGGGCTATTGCTCTCGACATATCTAAAGCTTTCGACAAAGTTTGGCATGCTGGTCTTCTCCATAAGCTTGCTTCATATGGTGTTTCTGGGAAAGTTTTTGAGATTATCAAATCATTTCTTTCTGACCGGTTTATTAAAGTCATCCTTGAAGGCCAACACTCTTCTTTATTTCCAGTAACTTTTGGGGTTCCCCAAGGTTCCATCCTGGGCCCTGTTTTGTTTCTTATCTACATAAACGATCTTCCTGACAACCTTTCATCTAAAATAGCTCTTTTTGCTGATGACTCAACTTTATACTCCTGTCTTGACAAAAAGTCTTCTCTTTTTGATCGCCTAGAACAAGCAGCTGATCTTGAATCTGATCTCACTTCAGTAATAGATCGGGGTTCACAGTGGCTTGTGAATTTCAACTCTAAAAAAACCCAATTGCTTACTGCAAACAACTACCGTAGTATGGTCAACATTCCTATATTAATGAATGGCAATCCTCTTACTGAGTCGTCCTCTTTACGTCTTCTTGGATTATCGCTTACTACTGACCTTTCATGGAAACCATATATACAATCGATTGCTAAATTAGCTTCTGCTAAGGTTGCTTCTCTTTATCGTGCTCGCCATTTCCTTACTTCTGATTCCATTCTCTACCTCTACAAATCTCTTATTCGTCCCTGTATGGAATACTGTTGTCATATTTGGGCTGGTTCTTCTAACGATTCACTTTCTCTTATTGACAAGGTCCAAAAACGCATTGTAAATGTTGTTGGACCTGGACTATCTGCTAAGCTTGAACCTCTTTCCCATCGTCGTAAAGTTGCATCTCTTTCTCTTTTCTACAGATATTTCCATCAACTAAAATTCATTCTCGTTTTACTCGTCATTCAGCGAAGTCTCATTCGTTTACTGTATCTGTCCCAGCATGCTCTAAAAACTTTTATTCATCTAGTTTTTTTCCCCGCACTTCAATCCTTTGGAACTCTCTCCCATCTTCATGTTTTCCTGACTCCTACAACCTTCAACTTTTCAAGTCTTCTGTCAACCGTTTCCTTGCTCTATAACTCTGTTCTTTTTTTTCCTAGTAACTCCCAACTTCATAGTGGTTGCTTGCAGCCTTGTTGGGAGTGAATGCAAATAAAAAAAAAAAAAAAAAAATTTTTTGAATTAGATAGATGTGGAGAGGTTAAGGCTATCGTTTTCAACATTTCTAAAGCTTTTGATAAAGTTTAACATGCTGGTCTTTGCTATAAGCTATCTTCTTGTAATGTGTCAGGTAATATCTTTAAGATTATTGAACCCTTTCTCACCAATCGTAGTACAAAAGTTGTCCTCCATGGACAGCACTCTTCTTTATATCCTGTAACTTCAGGGGTTCCTCAAGGTTCTATCCTTGTCTATAGGGACAAGGATAGAACTCTTTAATTTACATTAATGATCTTCTAGAAATTATCACATCTAAGGTGATATTGTTCACTGATGATACTACCATTTAATCTTGCCTTGATAAGAAACCAACACTCTCTGATTGCTTGGAGGAGGTTTTAGGGCTTGAAAAAGATCTCACTTCTGCTACAGCATGGGGCTCTCAGTGGCAATGCCCATCATAGTCTATAAATACTATGATAAGCATTGCTCCAAAGAGCTAGTGTCTCATGCGCCATCTACTAAAATTCATTCTCTTATTACTCGCCATTCAATAAAGTCTCATCCTTTTACTGTGACTCTTCCTAAGTACATTAATCACATCAAATTGTAAAGATAATTGGATTCAAATCATTAGCATTTGGGGTAAAATATTTGAAAAGAAATCAGTTTTCTTCTGCATCAACAGTCTGTGACACAAATGATTTAACTTTTTTTTGGAAATCAATACTATATCTAAAACACAATAATCTTACTATCAACACTATCAAAAAATTTATAATCCTTCAGTTATAGTAGTAATGTACAAGTTAACAATTTAAATGAATCATCTTTAAGTAGGCTTAGCCAGGAAGACGTGCAATTTTATGTCATAATATGACCACACAAATACTATTTGATTTTAAAAACTTGACCATGGCTGTTAATGTTTTGAAAATATTTATACATTTTAAAAACTACTGAAAAAATTATCTTTAACTTAACTATAAAGAAACTTAAAATCTTATTGTAAATAAAGCAAACAAATTTTCGAAAAAAAAAAAAAAAAAATTAAAACTTAATTAAAATAAACAATAAACTATAACGATAAGATTATCTAAATTACGTTTGGAATAAATAACTTTGAATCATTTGTCATTACAAATGATTTTATTATAGATTATATGATGAGAAATCCTTTTTAAATCAAGTAACTTACATCTAACGATTGTTTAATAAATGCGCACATTTAAAAGTTAAAAAAAAGATTCTTAAAGGGATTCCCAAGAGCCGAGACAAGTTGTGTTCATATCATAGATAAACATTAGAAAATAAGTTAAAAGTTAATTAAACTTTCCAAAACAAATTATTGAATGAGATATAAACAAAAGCATTTGTTGTTTTGCCATTATACTTCTGTTTCAGAACCTAATTTTAGGTTCTCAAATCTGAGTAGTTTTTTCGGTTAAAAAAACATCTGGTTTCAATAATGTTTTCGCTTACCACAGAGTTTTTAAAACTCAGTTCAGTTTTACATAATCAGATTGGTTTTCCCTTCATATTTAGTCTGCAGTGGTTATAAAAAATGTTCGCTGTAGCATGTTTTTGTTTTTTGCTCAATGTATCAAGTATTTGAGTTAAATAAACTAGCATAATAAAAAAAAAAAACAATTATGCAAAACAAACTTTAAAATAAACAAGATGAATATTTTTCTTAGAAAATAAGTGATCAATTTTTTTATATAAATCACTAAGTTCACTATAATCCAACATGGTTAAATTTTGAAAGATTTAAAAATCTTTATTTTTTTAATAAATTGAGAAAACTGATTTAAAACTGATTTTATATATTTTTAACTTATGTTATAATAATTATATATAATAATTTATATTTCTAATTCAAGAAACCATTTTTAAAATGATCTAATATATATTTTCAGATATATATATAACTGATATTAAAAACTTGAATCTTATATTTTTGTTTACCATCCAAAGGGGAAACCCCTGCAAATTAAGTTTTTTGAATGAAACTTTTTTTTATTGATATCAAATATAAGCACATTAACCAGATCTGATTTAAAAAATAAAAATAGACAAAGATCTGGAGCTTTACTTTGCAAAAAACGAAATGGCGTTAAAAATAGTTTTTTGTCACAAATTTGTTTTAGAAACTTTAATTAATTTTTAACTTACTTTTTAATGTTTATTTATTTGGGGATGTCTTAATTATAATTAAAAACCAATTTTTTCAGCGCATTTATTAAAAACTGTGGTTAAATTGTCAAAACAAAATATTATTTGTGTGGTCATATAAAAGCTTGAAATTGCACGCCTTCCTGGCCAAGCCTGTATATGTATTTTATTTTTGACTCAAATATATCAAATAAAAAATGTTGGATATTGTCCACAACGCTTTAAAAATCAAATACAATCTAGACTGGTTTATCAAAAAAAAAAATTGGCTATTTCTTTAAACAGTTTGTTTGTACATCTTTTAGCAATCAGAAACACTATATTTATTCCAGCAAGAGGTTAAATATGTCCAGGGATATAAATAAAGAAAAGTAATTGCTATATGACACATAGCAATTATTCTTCTATAATTATATTCCTAGACATATTTAAACCCTTGGTCTAATAAACTTGTCTCTTCCGATGAATGAAAAACAGTATTATAGTAGGAGTAGGGAAAGCATTCGCTAAAAACCAAGTTTTGGAATAATTGTGCGATGTCTGCAAAATAAATTTGAGTAAGTGTAGGGGTCAATCATATGATAATACAGCTAATAGGTCAGGACCATACAAAGGAATACAGCAAAAGATTATGGAAAAAAACAAATTCACCATCTATATCCGTTGTACAGCCCACTCTTTAAATTTGGTTGGTCGTAATGCAGTTGAAATTCTACATAATGCAGTTGTTCTATACGCTTTTCTCTGCATCAATTGACTGTTAGAAAATTCTTAAAGATTGACTTGGTATTGAAAACAGAAATTACTTTCACTTTCACTTTTCTCATTTCACTTAAATCACTATCAGATACACAATGGAAGATACACATGATACACATGGGAAGCACATGCTGTTGTAATTAATGCTGTTTTAATCTCAACAAATTCTCACTGCTTTTGAGAATGATGAAATTCTTTCTCTGATGATGAAAATAAATGGGAAAAAACAGAAAACATTGCTTTCAAAAAGAAAGTTGGATTTTGTACTCATGCTCATTATGTGGGATAAAATATTTTCATAGAACAAGCTAGACCCTTTAAAAAGAGGATGTCAACTTTAAAAAGAGGATGTCAACTTTAAAAAGAGGATGTCAACTTTAAAAAGAGGATGTCAACTTTAAAAAGAGGATGTCAACTTTAAAAAGAGGATGTCAACTTTAAAAAGAGGATGTCAACTTTAAAAAGAGGATGTCAACTTTAAAAAGAGGATGTCAACTTTAAAATATGTGCAGATCTGTATAAAGTAAGAGCAGACAAACTACATAACATGTGACATAACATGTGACATAACATGTGACATAACATGTGACATAACATGTGACTAGAATTTGAAATGATTAAAAAACTTTCAGATTTATGTACAGGATGTTATAATCTGATATATAAAAGTATATAAAAAGTCTTCTAATATAAGCAGCTGTTCAAAAATGGAATTAAGATCTCTGTATATTGAGGAAGATCTAAGTGATCCACATAGTGTGGACAATCATTCCACCAATCGATTTCTTCGGGTCAGAAATTTAAGGTTCCTTTTTTTTTTTTTGTGCACATTTCCATTTGTAAATTTAAAGTAGAAAAACTTTTCATTAAATATTAAGTGAATAATGAAATAGTAAAACATAAAAAAAAAACCTTAAAAAAACAATAAGATTTTTTTTTTCGTTTTTCAAAAACCTGAAACATTTAAAAACTTTTTAATTAAAAACAATATAACCTAGGAACATTTTGAACCTCTGTGAAAAATTAAAAACAACAAAAATGTTGATTTAAATTTATGTTCATATTAATATATTGGGCATTAAAATATGAATTTTGAAATTTCAATGCCCAATACTTTGAGCTCCAAATATTGCAAAAAATTACAAAAAACAACTTTAAAACTTAAAAAAATTTTATTGTAGATTATTATTATACATTTGAGCCGAAAATTAAACTTTGTGACCATAAATACAAAGTTAGACTACTGCTATTTTAGAATTAGATGGTGTAGAATGATGATATCAGTCCTGTCGTTATTTATTTAGTCCAATCGTTATTTAAGATAGTGTCATAAAGATTCAGGGGGATGAATTCTACTATTCAAGGAATTAATTTACATAGTTAACTAAATTTAAATAGTTAAAGAAACTTATGTTTCAACTATGACAATTCATGATGAGACATTATAATATTAGCATAACTGTTACTGTAAATTGTGAGTCACATTTAAAATTCAACTATACACATAAATTTAAAAATCAAATTATACCTGTTTGGCACGCTGAACAATAAACCAAAGTGCAATAGAGCTAAAAAAAATATAAACTTATCAAAATAAATAAAATAACAATCTTTGTATATATAATTGTAAAACAATTTTAAATAAAAATTATGATTTTAAATATAGATCAAAAAAAAGTTCATTTTTAAAGTTTTTTTTTTCTTTTTCAAAAATTGAAAAAATCCATATTTTTTGTTTGGTTTTTGTTGACTCCATTTCATTTTTTTTTTACCTGTTTACACCTTTAGAATAATAAAAGTTTTAAAATACAAAATATTTATATTTTTATTTATATTTATATTTTTATTATATATTAAGTTTTTAAATTTAAAAACATTGAGAATAATAAAAAGTCGAATAAACTACTTTTAGTTATTTTGCTAGTGAAAGAAAATGATAAAGTAATAACTTTGTTAAAAAAGACAAAGTATAAAGTAACCAAGGTGGTATACAAAGATGGTAACCAAGGTTACAAAGATGAATTTTTGTAATAAGAGTTAGAGAAAGAGAAAGTGTTAAAACCATGGTGGGAATGACCACAATTGCAAAATATCACATAATAAACTCACAAAAAAGTGAAAGTATTAAAAAAAGGAATTTATTTCATATTGTCCAAGTTTTAAATCTTGTATAGCATTAAAGCACATATGAATATTTATAATTAGTGAGAATAATTGTGAAATCATGTTTGGAACATAATATGTTTAAAATTAGTAGTCTCTTTCAAAAAAGATTGCACTAATGTTAAAAACAGCTTTTGACTAAAAATATAATACGAATTCAAAAAATGATAAAATGAGAAAAATGATTAATATTTTATGCAATGGATTTTGCAATTGCGATACTTTAATACAGCATTTACATAACTTTAGTACTGCAATTCGAGATATTTTAGTACTGCAATTCGAGATATTTTAGTACTGCAATTCGAAATAAAAGTTCTTCAAAGACTAAAAATAACTTTATTTTAAATCTAAACATAAACTACATACTTTGATAATGAGTTGAGAATAAACACACAAAGATATATTCTGCCACCAGTTGAAAAACTTACAATCTAAAAAAAAATTAGTTGCAACAAAAAAAATATTTATAATAAAATTTATGATAAAAACATCTGGGCATATAACTATTGATAAAAATATAAAAGATATAGTTAATAAAAAAAATATGAACATAGTATAAATGCTACTACAAGAGATACACTGGATTCAAATGTTCAAATATATATTTTTTATTAATTTATTGAATATGTATATATAATGCATGAAAAAAAAAGTAAAACAAGATACAGCTAATTAGATCTGGAGACAGTAGTATAGAGAACTGCACAACTATTGGTCTGATGAGGTCCATGAGAACGTATGTTACTCGTATTAACCTCTTTGATGCCATCACCAAGATGACATTTTTGTTAAATATCTGTTAAATATACATTAATGTAGTTTAATATTGGACAGATTGGTTCAATTTTTAATCAAATTTTTTTTCTGAAATTAGCCAAAAGTCAGAATGATGGTTATGCTAAAACTATATGCAAAATTTGGTCTGAACATTAGTATTATTCATGTAAGACTCGGTTTTATCCAAATTAGAAAAACCAGAATATAGTAGAAATCTAAATCCAGTGCATCTCTTGATTATTTACTTATGCCATATAAAAAAAAAGACAAACTATTGGATCAAACAAATAAAATAAAAAACACAAACCGTTGGATCAAACAAATGCTGCACTAGAACCTGTTGTCCAATAAAATTATAAATACAAAAAAACCAAATACCCAAAAACAAGTAAAAAATTGACTGTACAGCAATTATTTGTGATATAATCAAAATAGGATCCCAGACGTAACTTCGAAACTGTCCTAATGCCATAAATATTTTACTATGATAACTTAAATCATTCTTTATTAACTAACATATATCACTATTGATTTACTGCTCTAAAAAAACAATAAAATTTAAATTATTCATAAATTTTAAATTATTAAATTAAAAATTTAAATATATATTTATATTAATTATTAATTTTTTTGTTTTTGTTTTTTTTTTGTTCTTACCATCAAACAAACAACCCTCCAAACCACCAGAAATTAAAAAAAAACAAATGTAATAAAAATAGGTAATAAAAAATCATTAAGCATTAAAAGTAATATACCACAAGTAAAAAAGAAAAATGGGCAAAGAAGATTAACAATGTCTGCAAACATATACAAAAAACAGAGATGATGATCATATAAATGATCATCATATTGACTCTAAAGGATGAGAAAGGTAGTGGTAGCTTTAAACAGAGATTGAAAATAGTGAGTGTATCAGAGAGGGTGCACTTGGGAAAATTAAGTTTAAGAAAAAATCTATTTCAACAAATTTAATTTTTCTCTTTTTTCACTAAGATAACTGTTAAAAATTAAAAAACAAAAAATTTTGTCAAATTTCTTAAATTATTTCAACTACATTCCAATAAAAACTTATTATATTTTAATAAAAAATAGCAACAAATATTATTTAAAAATATCAGTCCAAAAACTATTAACAAATATTATAAGCTATTTAAAAAATCATTTTGAATTCTTACGTATTATATCATCTAAAAAAAAAAAAAGTGCAATATAATCATACCGAAAAAATCATATTCTATATTATTTGTCAAATAAAAAAACATTATGATTGTTTTTTAAGGAAGTAGTAAACATGTTGTGCATCTGCGCCTATTCGACTGGTCAAACCGTCTGGAAGTTTATCTTCAGTATTTCGACATAACTCTTCATAAATGAAAGAACTACCAAACATCTTTTCAAGTCTATTTCTGAAAATAACATGAGGGGGATTTCCACCACGCAAAGCAACATCATACTCAAAGCAGTTTAAGATGATATGTGCATTAGAGGATAAAAAAGATACTAATTTATCAACATATATCTGCTGTTCATCAGGGATCATAGCAGATAATGAATTAATGTCCCAACAAAAGTCAAAAAGACCACCTAAAATGTCAACATTCATTAAAAAAAAATCTCCTTGATAAATTGTGATATCTTTTTCCACGCAAACATACATTTTATAACCATTTTCTTCATTAAATTTATAAGATAAACCCATCTCTTTGAAAAAATCAATAATTGGCATATCTGCAAACTCAATACCAGTCACAGATAAACCTTGTTCACACAGCCATAACAAATCAGGCGTTTTGCCACAAAGTGGTACCAGCACTCTTTTTTCACAAAAATTTTGACCACCAGTAAGTACTGTAAAATACAATTTTAAAAAAGGATTCACACCAGGTAAGACCCAAGTCGTATTTCCATTTGCCCATCGATTGCACCAATACTCATTTAATTCCTCTCTTTTATCAACATTACTTGTATTGCTACTCATCTAAATTAAAAAAAAAAAAAATTTATTTATACAAATTAAATTATTTAATATTCATTTTAATGTAAATACCAAAGTAAAATAATTTAAATTTGACAAAAGTTTTTGAAACTCTACAAATAATTATTTAAAAAGTTAAAAAAAAAAAATGCTTCTTTCTCCTAAATTATAACATATTTTGTATAAAAAAAGGCTTTTATATGTCTTTATTGCTTGTATATATGTCTTGATCGCTAAATCTGTTGAAACAGTGCACAAAAATAACATAACAAAAACAACATTTATCAAAAAACTATAGCAAACTTTTGAAGATATATTTTACAAATATTGAAGAAAGATAAAAAAAAAAAAAAAAAAAAACCTGCCAAGAACAAAAAATGATAATTAATGTGTATACATTTAGAATCCTTATGTTTAGTTTGACTTATGGCACTCTAAGCAGTATTGTTTTTTTTTTTAAATAGAAAAACACACCACAAATTTTAAATAAAATTGAAGGATAATTAATTTTACAAAAAAAGGAAAACTAGTCATTAAAAATAAGGCTAAAAATTATTATTTTCATTAAAAACAAACAACTCCATTAATTGTCCTGCAAAGTTAAAATCATTAAATAAAAATACATCTATTTTATACATACTATATAACATAATTTCACTGGACATTATGTCCAGTGATAAGATATCATCCAAGACCCAGTCAAGATTCCTAAAATTGAAGAACCTCAATTATCAGCAACACACTCAAGAACAATGTATATGGTTGTACTTGGCACTCATTCTTTAAGAAAATGTTCAACTGTAAATATTTTAGGTACATCTGAGTGCATTATTTGAAATTGGCAAATTTATTTTCGGAGTCTTGAACATTTCTCTGGAACTATTATAAAAGCGGTAAGAAAAAACTAATGTGATTCAAATAATAAATCCTCTCTAAATGTGAAATACATTTAATTATTTATCAAGTCACATGATCATTAAGTCACATGATTATCAAGTCACATGATCATTAAGTCACATACAATAAAGTGAATCAAACTTTTTTTGAATTTTTAGACAACATATGTTAAAAATGACTATGTAAAAAAAAAGAAAAAAAAATATCTATCTATCATTGTAATAAAAAGTAAAATATTTAATAATATATCATTAAAAAAAAAAATGAAAATAAACAGAAAACTTTATTATTTCACAATACTTAACAGAAAAAAATGTGTTATACTTCATATGAATTTCGTAAAATTATCTCAGAAATTTAGCTAAAGTAGTATTTACTTAAAGAAATTGTATAAAATAATTCCAATGATTTCATTTTGGTAAAAATTAAATAAATAGGTCCTTTTAAATTTGTTGACAAATTTGAATCAGCTGGTGAAACATATACAACAAAAGCAAGAGTAATATGCAAGTAGATCAAGCTCAAAGAATCCCACCTCTAACAGCAAGAGATGATGATGCAAGTGATGATAATGAATTAGATGCGGTAGTAGTAAAGCGTTCATTTTGTAATGAGAACAAACAACTAAATATTAGAACAACAAATTAAATAAATAAATAAGTAGCATCTTAGACTAAATAACAAAGAATAGAGATGATGATTATATAAATGATCATCATCTTGACTCTAAAGGATGAGAAAGGTAGTGATAACTTTAAACAGAGATTGGAAATAGTGAGCGTATCAGAGAGGGTGCATTTTGGGAAAATAAGATTAAAAAAAATCTATTTCAACAAATTTAATTTTTTGTTTTTTTTTTCACCAAAATAACTGTTAAAAATTAAAAAACAAATTTTGTCAAATTTCTTAAATTATTTCAACTACATTCCAATAAAAACTTATTATATTATAATAAAAAATAGCAACAAATATTATTTAAAAATATCAGTCCAAAAACTATTAACAAATATTATAAGCTATTTAAAAAATCATTTTGAATTCTTACGTATTATATCACCTAAAAAAAAAAAAAGTGCAATATAATCATATCAAAAAAATCATATTCTATATTATTTATCAAATAAAAAAACATTATGATTGTTTTTTAAGGAAGTAGTAAACATGTTGTGCGTCTGCGCCTATACGAATGGTCAAACCTTCTGGAAGTTTATCTTCAGTATTTCGACATAGCTCTTCATAAATGAAAGAACTACCAAACATCTTTTCAAGTCTATTTCTGAAAATAACATGAGGGGGATTTCCACCACGCAAAGCAACATCATACTCAAAGCAGTTTAAGATGATATGTGCATTAGAGGATAAAAAAGATACTAATTTATCAACATATATCTGCTGTTCATCGGGGATCATAGCAGATAATGAATTAATGTCCCAACAAAAGTCAAAAAGACCACCTAAAATGTCAACATTCATTAAAAAAAAATCTCCTTGATAAATTGTGATATCTTTTTCCACGCAAACATACATTTTATAACCATTTTCTTCATTAAATTTATAAGATAAACCCATCTCTTTGAAAAAATCAATAATTGGCATATCTGCAAACTCAATACCAGTCACAGATAAACCTTGTTCACACAGCCATAACAAATCAGGCGTTTTGCCACAAAGTGGTACCAGCACTCTTTTTTCACAAAAATTTTGACCTCCAGTAAGTACTGTAAAATACAATTTTAAAAAAGGATTCACACCAGGTAAGACCCAACCCGTATTTCCATTTGCCCATCGATTGCACCAATACTCATTTAATTCCTCTCTTTTATCAACATTACTTGTATTGCTACTCATCTAAATTCTAAAAAATAAATAATTTTATTTATACAAATTAAATTACTTAATATTTATTTTAATGTAAATATCAAAGTAAAATAATTTAAATTTGGCAAAAGTTTTTCAGACTATACAAATAATTAAAAAATTTAAAAAAAAATAACTTATTCTTCTTTCTCTTAAACCATAATATATTTTGTATAAATATCTTGATCGCTTTTATATATGTCTTAATTACTTGTATATATGTCTTAATTGCGTGTATATATGTCTTGATCAATAAATCTGTTGAAACAGTGCACAAAAATAACATAATAAAAACAATATTTATCCAAAAATTTTGGCAAACTGTTTGAAGATATATTTTACCAACACTGAAGAACAACTATTATTAAATATTTTTGATCATATAGTAAAAAAAAAATAATAATAAAGCCTGCTGAGACCAAAAAATGATAATGTGTACACATCTAGTATCCTTATGTTTAGTTTGACTTATGGCACTTTATGTAGGTAACCAGGATTTTTTTTTTTTTAAATAGAAAAACACACCACAAATTTTAAATAAAATTAAAGGATAATTAATTTTACAAAAAAAGTAAAACTATTCATTAAAAACAAGTCTAAAAATTATTATTTTCATTAAAAACAAACAACTTCATTAATTGTCCTACAAAATTAAAATCATTGAATAAAAATATATAACTACATTATACATACTATATAACATAATTTCACTGAACATGAACATATAGAATAACTTCACTAGACATAAGTATATAACATAATTTCACTGGACATGTATAAACATACATGTCCAGTGTATAACATACTTTTACTAGACATAAATATATAATATACTTTTACTAGACAAAACAATTTTACTAAATTTTAAAACCTAATAATTTATAATCAATAATTCTACATAAAAAGATTAAAATGTATTTTTAAAAATTCTCTATTTTATTTTTTCAATCATATAATATATGTGCCTTGTATTAAAACCGATTCGACTAGTATAGCCTTCTGGTAATATATCCTCAGTGTTGCAACATAATTCTTTGATGATAAATTTATGACCAAACATATTTTCAAGCCTATCTCTGAAAATTGCATATGGAGGTTTATCATTACGCAAGGTAACATCATATTCAAAACAATTTAGAATAAGACGACAATCATAAGACAAAAAAGATATTAATTTATCAACATACAACTTTTGCTCATTAGGGATCATAGCAGACAATGAGCTAATATCACAACAATAATCAAACACTCCACCTAAAATATCAGAATGCATTGAAAAAAAATCCCCTTGATAAATTACAATATCTTTGCTAACACACTTATAAACTTTATGACAATTTTTCTCATAGCATTCATATGACAAACTCTTCTCTTTGAAAAAATTGATAATTGGCACTTCACAAAACTCTATACCAGTTACTGATAAACCTTGTTCACATAGCCATAATAAATCAGTTGTTTTTCCACAGAGTGGCACCAACACTCTTTTGTTACAGACACCTTTACCTTCTGTAAGATTGGGAAAATATAATTTCAAAAAAGGATTCACACCAGGAAAAACCCAACCAGTATCACTACTTGCCCATCGATTGCACCAATATTTGTTAAGCTCTTCTCTTTTATCAACCATAATTTTTATTATAGCTATCACCTATGTTAAATTGTAAACATATTTTTATTGAGATGAAAAAAACTTTATAGTTTAAAACATGTTTAGAAGTTTATAAAATACTAAGAAACTTAATAGTTCATCCTCAGTACAAATACAAATTTTAAAACAAATGTCAGCAAATTTTATGTTTCATGTTATAAAATTCATTAAAATAATAATTATTTATAATTTTTTCTATAAATAAATTGAAAAATAAATACAACAATTGATTGATATTTATTAGAGCAAAGTATAAATACATGTTCTAAAGGACACGAAGGCCCATACAAAGATGGACTAACAACGTGCCCAAAGAAATTTAAAAATAACGCTACAAAAAAAAAAAAAAAAAAAAAAAAAAAAAAAAAAAAAAAAATAAAGAAACAAATAGTTGTTCCTTTTACAGTAGATATTTGTTAAAGTCGAAAGATTTAATTTGATTTTTGAACTTTAAAATGTTATTTGCATTTACAGCCTTCAAGGTCATATTGTTCCACATGTCAACAACTCGATAAGAAAAGCTATATTTTCTTAAATCCAAGCGACAAGATTGTTTGCTTATTTTATAATTATGACCCAGGGTGTGGCTGTTATTGTCAATCGCAAAGAACATAGATTGATCAGTACAGACAAGTTTACAAAAAAGCAAGTTACTAAATGGTTTTTAAGGCGCAAAGCAAGTTACTAAATGGTTTTTAAGGCGCTGAACTTCGAGTGATTCGATACCAAGCAACTGTAATCTAATATGATAGTAAAGATTTATGAGGCTCCTTATTTTTTTTGTAAATTTTTGTTGGACACTTTCAACTGATTTAATCAATCTAATTTGGTGTGGTGACCATACTGGAGAACAATATTCTAAAATTGGTCGTATATAGGTAGTGAAATCTCTAACTAGGATACAAGGGTCACATGTTTTAAAACATTTCAAAATTAAGTATGCTCTAGAGTTAGCTTGATGGATGACGTTAAAAATATGTTTTTTATAATTAAGGTTACAGCCCATTGTTACTCCTAGATCTTTTGGGTTTGAAGACCAAACCAAAGAATATTCACCTAATTTATAGTTAACCTTTATACCTTTGCATAATGAGGGAGGTGCTATTCTAAGTGCAAAACACTTACTACAAGCAATTGTTAGTTGCCAAGTTTCTGCCCATTGTAAAAGTCTATTTAAAACAACAACTAAATCTTGGCTTAGATCCATATCACAGTACAAGCTATATAACTTTATATCATCTACATAAAGTTTTACACAACAGTCCAGATTATTAGTTATAGCGGTTAAATCATTAACATAGAATAAAAACAATGTTGGGACCAACACACTACCCTGTGGAACTCCACTAACAATGCGTAAAGAGTTTGATATAGAATTACCGACCTTGACTTGTTGATATCTATTGGTGACAAAAGAGGAAATCCAATTTAAAAGATTACCTTTTATGTTATAGGATGAAAGTTTTACTAATAGTTTGGTATGCGAGACAGAGTCAGACGCTTTTTGGAAATCAATATAGACAACATCCGTTATTTGATGGTTATCGAGTGCGGTGTTCCAATCATTAGCAGATTCTAAAAGATTTGTACTGGTTGAACATTTGTTGAGGAATGTTGATTAAGAGGTATTAAATTATGATGACCTAAATACTTTATGACATACACATTGATCATTCTTTCCATGACTCGACAGCAAGTGCATGTCAGTGAGATGGGTTTGTAATTATTTGGATCTGCAGTAGCTCCTTTTTTAAAAACTGGAGATACAAAAGCTTGGCGCCATTGTTTAGGTAAAGAACTTGACTTAAAACTGGCATCAAATATAAATGAGAGTGGAATACATAAAGAGCAATTGTTATTATTTGTAAAGACACTGCCAAATTGTTTATTAAACACGTCAGCGATTTCTTTGTTACTACAAGTTATCTTGTTATTATTGTTTTTATCTTTTAAAAGAAAAATACTTTTAGAGTTATTTAATTTTTTATTAACGTAATTAAAAAATTGTTTTCCTTTACAAGTTTAAGTTTGACTCTATTTGGTAAGTAAGTAATGATTTTTTACAATTTTACAATAAAAAATGTAATTTGAATAAAATACCAATAAATGTAATCAATCAAATATTTTTATACACCATGAAGAAAGAATTGATATGCAATAGGATTAAAAAGTGGATGTTGTGATTTGATAAAAAGATCTTAGACGAACAAGGTTAAAAAAATGTCAGATAATTCACCCTATCAAAATCACAATTTGTAGAACTCCATTATATTATTTTGAAATAACATTAAATGCATTATAAACATTTTGAAAATTCAAATGTTTTTATTTAAACTTTTAACAATATATGTTAACTCTAAATATTTATCAGCAAAATTTTTTTTTGACGAATTCAAAGATTGAAATTCAAATCACATTTTATAAATAATAAAAACATACCAACATATTACCTCTATCTCTTCCTTAATTACTTGTTTACAATTTAAAATTCTGTGCTCTGACAAATATAAAAATGGACTCCTTTTTTTTTTGTAAGAAAAGGAAAAGAGTGGTCTGAAAGCTTGATTTATTAATTATTTAGTCAAGAACATCCATAATAATAACAATCAATCTTAGATTTTACAATTTAAAAATTCAATATTATAAAACTAGATATCTAGATTTCCAAATGAAGATAAAAAAAACACTTGTATTGTAAGAATAACAAATTGTATAATTTTTAATTATTTTAGATGTTTCACACGAAAGAGGGAAAGAATAAAGTTTTAAAAGCTACATTGATTTATTTTAATCTTTGTCATTATCATTATACTTTTAATTTATTCTTTTCAACTAATAATACGAGTTGAAAAGAGTAAATTAACTCATGACATGAGCAATAAATAAAAAAATTAAAAATACAATGATAATGACAATAAAGATTAAAATAAAATAAGATTACGATAAAACAAAAGTAAATGCTGATGCACTGCAAATCAACTAAAGGTTAAGGATAGAAAGCTGGCTCTTCTTGACTTTTAGTTGGTTGCAGCCTATTGACGTCTAAAATAACTGTTTACGTGTATCGTGTTATAGACAATACATCTTCTTTTAAACATGTCTATAACATATATATATATACATATATATATAATAATAATAATAACAATAATAAGAATAAGAATAAGAATAATAATGTAATAACAAGTATAAATTAGTATACAGTAAAAATGAAAGTAAGTATTTTACAGGGTTTATGCGAAATATAAAACATTTTTTAAGAAAATATAAAACATTTTTTAAGAAAATATAAAACATTTTTAAAGAAAATATGACACATTTTTTAAGAAAATATAAAACATTTTTTAAGAAAATATAAAACATAGTTGAATCAATAGTGCAATTGAATCAATAGTGCAATTAATTTAATGTAGTTGAATCAATAGTGCAATTATGATACATAAAGTTATTCATAAATTTCTAAAGAATAAAGAGTATCTTTTATATAATTATAACTCATTATACTTAAAGATATAATATAAAAAGCAAAGTATCCGCTTTAGTAAAATTCTTGTCTTGCTATGCCTTTCAAAACCCATCTTCTCATATTGTAATACCAACCACAAAAATCAACGCCAATTGTCGGTTTAAGCGAATTTAAAGTAGCCTTAACTTCATTGCTAGTTTTTGGAAACGGCCTTATAGAAGTATAATTAGCTTTAAGACAACTATAGTATTCCTCAATCGGGTTCAATTGTGGTGAATAAGGTGGCAAAAAGTAAACTGAAACACTGGATTGGCTGAGCAAATTGATTACATCTCTTCTACGGTGAAATGCACAATTATCCAATACTAGTACAGAATGGGGATACGTTTGGAAATATGGTCTTAAATTGTTGGTTATAAAATCGCAAAAGGGATTGCCATTATAGGCACTATCTTAAAGCTTAAAATACCATTAACTGTTATAGCGGCCATGAGACTTACATTCTTTCCACGATTTGCTGGCACTGTAACAAAACATTTTGTATTCTTTATAGAATAACGATACTGTTTAGAAGTATGTAAATTAAAGCCTGTTTCATCTAGAAACACTAAGTTATTGTCAGGAATCGAATTAATAGTCCTACAAAAACTTTGTCTTAAATCAATGTTTTGCGGCGAGTTCCTTTCTTTTGGTACTAATGTAAGTCGTTTTCTAGTGAACTCCATCGATTTCAAATATTTAGATATTGTTGGTATAGATGCATTAATATTCCTTTCAACGAGAATGTTTCTCAATGATGCTAACGTATGAGATGGATCATGCTCAATTAACATTCGAATTTCAGATTTAAGTGTCTCGTCATAAGAGCTGCGCCTTCCTTTTTTTACTGATGCGATTTCATCATCACTAAGTCCTTTACAGATTTTATCAGAAATAAAACGTGTTGCAGAAACTGATATTTCAACTTCTTCCGCAATTTCTTTTAACTTCATTTCTTTTAGAATTGACTTTCTTATTGTTTTTACAATATCCTTTGTAATAAGTGTTCTTTTTTTTCTTTGTCTCTTGTTATCCATTTATTGATTAAAACAACAAAATAAAGCTTGAATAATATATTTTTACAAATCTCTTTCTTTGTTGTGAATAAACCACATAAATTCCATAGTATAGAGTAATTACGTAATTGAATATTTTATGTTAAAATATTAAACATTTAATTAACTAATTAAATGTTTTATATTAGCATAAAATTTGTTTTATATTTTCTTTAAAAATGTTTTATATTTTCTTAAAAAATGTTTTATATTTTCTTAAAAAATGTTTTATATTTTCTTAAAAAATGTTTTATATTTTCTTAAAAAATGTTTTATATTTTCTTAAAAAATGTTTTATATTTCGCATAAACCCTGTAAATGAAAACGCTCCATATTTATAATATATGATGTAATCATCGATTTTACTAGACTTTAAAATTAGATTTTACTAGACTTTAAAATTAGACCTTCAGATCATAGTCATAAAAATAAATAGTCTGGAAACACGGGTTGAAAACAATAGGTTTTGCCGTTGATGTTAGGTTCTTATCCGCGTTAGTACCCAGCCTACTTTAAGGTGCAAAACAAAACAAATTTCTTTAGAGATCTTGAATCAAAATACAATGCCTGGAGCAAATTGTTCAGTATATGGTTGTCATACCTCTCGTTATTCACATGGAATAGCTATATTCAGTCTTCCTAAAGGTCAGGATGACTTTTCCGTTCAATGGAGAAAAAAATTGAGCGAGATTATAACAAAAGATCGTTTAATTGATTCAGCTTTAAGGAAGCAAATTGCCAGTGAATCTTTGCATATTTGTGAGAGACACTTTAAAGAAGATGAAGTTAATAGAAGTAAGCTTAACTACTGTGCTTATATATATATATATATATATATATATATATATATATATATATATATATATATATATATATATATATATATATATATATATAGAGAGAGAGAGAGAGAGAGAGAGAGAGAGAGAGAGAGAAAGAGAGAGATTTATATATATATATATATATATATATATATATATATATATATATATATATATATATATATATATATATATATATATTTATATATATTTATATATATATATATATAATTATGTATATTTATATATATATATAATTATGTATATATATATATATATATATATATATATATATATATATATATATATATATACATATATATATATATATATATATATATATATATATATATATATATATATATATATATATATATATATATATATAGAGAGAGAGAGAGAGAGAGAGAGAGAGATTTATATATATATAATTTATATATATATATATATATATATATATATATATATATATATATATATATATATAATTTATATATATATATCTATAATTTATATATATATATATATATATATATATATATATATATATATATTTATATATATATATATATATATATATATATAGATTCAACTAGAGCAAGACTTATACCAGGAACTCTACCTTCACAAAATTTACCAATAAAGAGTGTTCAAACAACCAGATAAAAATTTTCAAAATAATATAAGCTTAGTTTTTCTCTATTTTTTTATTTATTTTTTTTAATTTTTGTTTTTTAGTTTATTAAAAAAGACAAGGCTTTCGACACTAAGTATTACATCAAAAAAAGATTGCAATGAATCAGGCAAAGTTCAAAATCATATACATTATTTTTATAAATCATTTCAAGAGTTTGTAGATCGAGTGAGCATACTAAAATTGGAATCATGGGAACTTGTTATATCGAAAGATTTAGTCAAAGTTTTTAAAGTAGACAACATTCACCTACAACCCCAATATGAAGTATATGTTCAACCTAGCCTTATATTTACAATACGATCTTTTGCTTGGAACTTACCAGATACGCATGATATTTATTTGAATTATAAACAGTCAGTTAAAAACATTACTTTATCAAGTATTATTGCTCTTTTATCAACTTACTCATTGTGTCAGGGTGTTGCATCAGGTTCAAACTGCTTTAAAAAACATATTCTTACAAAATTGTACAATCCAAGTGTTAAATCAATCACTACATTTGAGAGTGAATTTAATAGGTCAACTTTGTGTTTTTTATTGATAAATTCTGGCAATACTTGTAATGAATGTAAAACTTTGGAATTGTCACAAAATGCTAAACTACAAAAAGCTGTAAAACGTAAAGCTGAAACGCTGACAAAACCTGCTCATATAAATGCCCCCATCTCCATAACTTCTCCTGATAGAATTAAACTTACCTTGCAAAGCTATCGATCTGAAAATGCCATTTTGAAACAAGAAATGAAAAGTATGCAAGATGAGATTCAAAAAAATGCATTACGAGTAACCTCTGATTTTGATGGCGACATAAAAAATCTAATGTCAAATGCTTTTGATTTACACAGTGTTTCACCATTTATGAAATTTTTTTGGACTGAGCAGCAAAAATACCTTTTATCAAATCCAACATCTGTGCGATATCATCCGATGATTATAAGGTATTGCCTTAGTCTTTGTGCAAAGTCTCCTAGTGCATACGAGGATATTCGCTATGATAAAAAGTCTGGTACTGGTTTTCTTGTATTACCAAGCCGTCGTCGTCTTCGCGACTACAAGAATTATATTCATCCTCAACGTGGTTTTAATCCAGATATTATTAAAGAGTTAAAATCAAAAGTAAAAGATTTTAGTGATGTAGAAAAGTATATTGTGTTGTTGTTTGATGAGATTAAAATTCAAGAAAATCTTGTATGGGATAAACACACAGGAGAAATTATAGGATTTGTTGACCTTGGTGATATCAATTTAAATTACGCAACTTTACAAAAAATTGATGCTGTAGCCACTCATGTTCTTGTGTTTATGGTTCGCAGTATAGTTAACCCTTTTAAGTTTACACTAGCTAATTTTGCAACGCTTGGAATATCATCTGCTCAAATTTTTCCATTATTTTGGAAAGCTGTTGGTATTTGTGAAATGGAATGCAAGTTAAAAGTTATGGCTACAACTTGCGATGGTGCTTCTTCGAACAGAAAATTTTTTAAAATGCATTCACGCTTATCTAATTCGAATGTTAAACAGGATGTAGTTCTCACATATAAAACAATAAATTTATACTGTCCTGAAAGGTATATTTACTTTATAGCTGACCCTCCACATCTTCTAAAAACAACAAGAAACTGTATTTACAGCTCAGGCTCTGGTAAATGTACTAGATACATGTGGAATGATGGTTTATACATTCTATGGAGTCACATCGCAGACATTTTTAAAGAAGATCAAATATGTGGTTTACATCTACTCCCGAAATTATCGTATGACCACATTAAATTGTCATCTTATTCTATTATGAATGTCAAATTGGCAGCACAAGTTCTAAGCACTACTGTAAGTAAAGTCCTTCTTAACTATGGATCTCCAGATACATTTGCAACAGCAAACTTTTGTTCAATGATTGACAGTTTTTTTGATATTATGAACATTAGTAATCCTTATGAATCAATTCAAAAGTCAAAACCATTTTTAGTTCCATTTTCTTCTCTTGATGACAATCGTTTGAACTGGCTTAAAGCAGAATTTTTGCCATATTTCGAAAAGTGGTTAAGTTCAATTAATACCCGTCAAGGTAAATTTACTCTAAATGACAAAGGTAAAATGTTTATATCATGGCAAACCTATGAAGGAATTAAAATTACAGTGAATTCTGCTGTTGAGTTGATAACATTTTTACTCTCTAATGGTGTATCTTATGTATTGACAGAAAGATTTTGTCAAGATCCCCTTGAAAATTATTTTGGACATCAACGCCAAATCGGTTCCCGCAAGGATAATCCATCTGTCCGTGATTTTGGCTACAACGATAATACTATTCGAAATCAAAAGGTATTCAGACCAATAAAAGATGGAAATTCCTATGAAGATATTGACTTTGAGATAAACGAAGAACCAGTACCATGCAGAAAGCGAGTAAAAACTTCATTACAATAGGGTATTCATTAAAAACGGCTATTTTCATAGCCACAAATTATTAAAACACATTATTGGCAAAGTGAACAGGTAGCATGCAACGATATGCAATGTACGTTTTGGGGACACCCTTAATATATATCTTGCTGTATTGATAGATATATCTTACTCTAAGGAGCCTAATACAAGTTGGGGGAAGAAATTTATTCTAGATCTAAGCATGCAGGAGGAGGGGTAATAAAAAAGTGACATTATTTTTACTTAAAATATATCCGATTTTGCAATTTTCCGATAAAAGTTCTACTAATTCCACTGTGATGATAGTTTAAATTTTTTTAAATGTGCACATCACATTGTAGCTATCCTCTCCCCTATGACATTAAGTAATACTTTTTGATCCCCCTCCCCTTAAGACTCTCACGTACTATTTAAACAGCCCCTATTTAAATAAATCATAAATAAAGTAACCCTTCTTCACCTTCTAGCATACACAGGCATTATTTATCATTAAAAAATTCAAAACTTTAAAATCCAAATTTATTGTAGGAATTTGTTAATTCAACGTTTTTCTCTATTTAAATAAGAAAAAGGGCAGTTTACAAGAGCCTTTCAAAGACAGGTTAATAATTTTAAAGTTTTCCCTTCCCCTAATGTCCATTGATTATGTCAACAGTATTAAGGCATTTTTTTCCTCATCTCTCCTCTCTTGTAAACAACTTGTCAAACTTACAGAGCTTCCCCTAGATCTAACAGAGCTTTACTAGGCTTCCCCTACAAAATTACATCTAATTTTATAAACTTCTCCCCTGATCCCTAAATACAAAACTACAATACAAACGCTTTATCAACAATTTTTGAAAATAACATCAATCAATTGATGTTATTAACAGAAAAGCCTAAACGAACCTTAATAGCAACTTCTTCCCCCTCCCTGAACACACACACTTTTTTCACACAATTTTCTTGCTTTTTCT